CCCCACAGGTGCCCGCAGTGCGGCCGCAGCTTCAGTCGTCTCGGGAACCTGGAGAGGCACCAGCGCATCCACACGGGTGAAAGACCGTATGAGTGTGGGACATGTGGGAAACGTTTCAGTCGAGTGGAATATCTAAAACGGCATCAGCACACCCACATTAACGATGCAATGATGAAACTCCCACTGCTGCGAAACTCCCATCACTGCTCTCAATGCAACCAAACATTCAGTGATACTGAGCAGTTCAAGCAGCATCAATGTCCGTACAACACATAATGTTATTCAGTGTTCATGAGAATCTACTAGACCTTAACTAGTAATCCACAGCACTCCGAAGACCTCATTCTTCATAATTCTCTTCCTTTTTTTGTATCTTCTATTAGCATTTTATTATATGCTTCTACCTTTAATGACCCAAAAACATGATTTCATCACTGACTTGCACCCAAAACCTCAAAGCAAAGCACATTTAACCTAGTACAATGACATCTTAAAGTGAAATTTCCTGTTTATTGTTACTATTTGGAAACTGTCTACTCATTATTCATAGTGAATATATATAGCAACATAATAAGCACCTCAGTTTCAATTCCAACAGCCTATAAACCCAGATAACTATTTTTGTCAGGCTTCTTATAACAGGCTGTGAAAATGTTTTTTTTATTTTTATGAACAAAGACATTTATAGAAGCTTGTTGTTTCTTATTAATAACAAATAGAATGCTTATTCATGCATTCCTAAGATTTTTTTCCTCTTATAGGGCTCATGTGTTGTTTTTACTCAAAACAGAAGTGAAATATTTGTTGTGATGAGAATTTCTTTAGGTCTTGTATCTGAAATAGTTTTTTTTTTACTTGCTCTTGTTGTATTCTATTTACTCAACAATTTCATGCTGTATTGAACAATATGGAAAATGTTAATAAATCCCTTCCAAATGTATATACTGCTATAGCTTGTCTTTATACATTGTATGTTTATTTGTTTGTTTATGAGAAACTGAGGCTTAAAATTACATTCACTTCTGGTAATTTGGAATACTGTTCTGAACAAAACTGTACGGAGCAAGTAAAAAGCTATGCTGTATGGTCATGTAGAGATAATGGAGTAGATGCATTAAGAATAAATACAATTAAATACATACTGCTACTCTCACAAATGAAAGATGAAAGGCGTTTGTAAATGCTTATTGATATTTTATGTTAGTGGATTTTATGTTGTTAAATAATTAGCTCTACCTATACGTTCTAAAAACGAAGTATTGACGGATCATTTCAGTGAATCAGTTGTCTGTCTGGGTCTGCGTTTCCTGAAAAGCATGAACGATTTATTCACTTTCATGTATTGAATCAGTCCGAGCAGTTCACGCATCAACCTGTTTTGAAACGATTCTTTGAAACGAATACTACTCATTGAAAAAAGTCAATAAAATAAACAAATAAATACAAAATAAACATAAGTAGACCAATCTAGTACAAAAAGTGTTCTTTTACTGAGATCATATATTCAAGTAATTTTCAAAAAGAAAGAAGAGAGTTTACAGTTTGAAAATTTTCATTTGTGAATGTAAAATCAGCTCAGGAATATAATTAAATGTATAATAAAACACATTTATTTTGTGGGATCTGAAGGGTTAATACTTAATCCATGACGCCAGACTCCAGAAGACATCGCTGTGGTCGTGTGGGATCTCTTCTGCCGGTCTAATTTCACATTGCGAAGGTTTGGATGTCATTTACATAATTTATTTTTATTTTGTAGATTTATATGTGTATACATTTAGGCGAAGGTCATGAACTGTGCTTCAGCGGGGACTGTAATGGGCAGTGTGTTGGTTTGTTTACCTCATCAGCTGTGTGTCGGCTAACGTCAGCTAGCAGCATTTACGATAAGATGTGAAACTATTTTGCGCTTTATTCTGCGTACTTTGACTTAGGCCATCTACAAAATGACGTAATACTATCATATTACACAAGCTATACAACCACAGTGTACTGTAACTGTTACACTGCGCATGCTATTTATTTAGTCTATTATGTAGCGCATAGCATTGCAGCATCAATGAATAAGACTCCACATTATGACTGAAAGCCTCTTTGCAAACTCCCGGTCTGTGTTTTTAGAGTTTCCATCAGGCCTTGCGCTCATCCTGAAGTGTGTTCACAAGAGTCGCAGCCCTGCATTTCAAAACAGAAGACGAGCATTTCGCCATGAACTCTGACATGGATGGTGAGACACTGGGTGGAATCAGCATGTGGATTCATCTTTAGTTTCTTTGCTTTATAGTGCAGCACACGGCAGTAGATTTTCAGGAGTTTGCAAAGTGTTTTTGTTGTTTTAATTATTAAATATGATCAAAATGAAACTGACAGTTGTTTATAAACAAGTATAGATTGATGAAAAAAATGCATAATTAACATACTAAATAACATTAGGAAAAAACAAAAACTTTTTCTTCCAAAAGCAAGTTTTAGATGCATGCTATTTTGTAATGTATAACATTACATTGTAAAGAATGTCTCCTAAATTTTAATTTAACAAATATCAATTATACAACATACACAAACAATATATGTGCATACTGTGCATATTTATACACATACTTACAACCTACAAATGCATACTATTTATCATACAAAATATAAATGCACACATACATACATATTTACATAGTTCATATGTAAACTATATATCAATTCTATAATTATAATATATGTATTGTATATATTAGAATATATAATATAAATTATGTTTTGTAATTTATCTACTAAATCAATTATTTACTAAAGTAAATAAAAAATAACTCAAAAAGTTTGCCCATGGCTTTTTAAACATATCTCCTTTACCAATTCGAACCCTTGACATTTTTTTCTAACAAATAATAATGTTTGAAATATTTTTTAAATGCACATGAATTCAAATCTTTATTATCCTTGATTTTAAGAATATATACCTTTCCAACTAAAATAATACTTTAATAAAGATTTTGTGTATGATCACCCCCAAATGATTTTATTTGAATTCCAAGGTAATTTAATGCCAAGTATAACTAACCATTTTGCTATGTTCGATCAACAGGCAACAACAAAAAGGCAATACCAAATAAATTCATGATGTCTTTCCTCCTCTTCCTTTTACAACTTTATTCATTTATTTATTTCTTTATTAATAAGTGTTAAGGACTTTTCCAGTGACTCCAAGTTTGCAAAGTGTGTAATTCTAAGTTCATCTTCCAGGTGATATAGAAAATCAGGTGGAGTTGGAGGAGAAGGCCAGACTAATAAACCAGGTTCTTGAGTTGCAGAATACTCTTGAGGGTAAGTAACCAGCGCTATATGGTTTGTCACATAGTGTTAACTAATGCTGGGTTCTTTCATCTTTTTTTATATTATATAAAAACCATTAAGTTCTGTCTTCCTCTTTCTTGTTTTGGTAGATCTCTCAGCTCGGGTGGATGCAGTAAAAGAAGAAAATCTGA